CCTGTAAAAATTTTTGAAATAATTCATTTATAATTATTGTAGGAGTCAAGAAGACAAGAAAAGAAGTATTATTTTGTTCTGTGCTACTGAGAATCAGGATAGAGAACTAGCTCCTGAGTCAGGAGACCTGGGTTCATCTAGCCTCTGATAACATACTGGCTATGTGACCCTGAGAAAGTCACTTAACCTCTCAATGAGCACCCCCTCCCCCCAGGTATTGGGGGGATTAAAAATCATGGAGCAGGTACCTCATTTACATTGGTGGAGAGGATTTTCTCATAGAGGGTTCCCTAAGACAATGAAATTACAGGTCCAATAAAAACAGAGTATAATATTAGGTAATGTAAAACTGAACTGAATTTCAAATTGCAATCATTGTATGATGCTTTTCTACATCACTAGGCATTGCCTGATTGCTGATTTGTGCCTGTTTGCTACTTCTCATTTCTGCCTATTTACTACTGAAAGGAACTAGTGGATATTTTGTAACAAGGTCAAGAAAGGGGGTTCATACTCATTTTTGGCATATCAGTTGAAACATACTCTATAGCAGGCAGATCTGTGACAAGTTCATGGGTATGATATCAAATGTTTTTCATTATGTGTACTTACTAAAAAAAATGCCCAAACTCTGTATTTTCAAACCAGCAGACATGATTCAGAAATCTTTAGTCTTAGCAGTAAGAGATCTGAATGTCAATGAATGTTCTTTTCTTTATTGTGCTTATTCTAAGCCTGGTGTAGCAGAAAGAGCACCTGAGTTAGAGTTGCGTGTCCTAAGTACAGAGCACAACTCTGTTATTTGCTACCTGTATAACTTTGGGTGAGCTGTGGATCTGTTTCTTCATTTGCCAAATAAGGTCATTGGACTGATGATTAAATATTTTCCACTTCTAAATCAGTGTTTCTAATCTTTACCATCCTCTTTCCTACCAGTAAGAGACAGTAAGGAAATTCACACTCACATCTCTAAAGGGTGCCCTGGTGAACTCAGAAGAGGGTTTTGTCCTTATGCAGACAGTTGGTCATTCAAAAAGAGTGTTTTACTCCTTTCAAAATCACTCTTCATGAATAAGGAAGTTGTTGCCTATCCTCCAGTCGAATCATAAATGAAATTATCTGCTAAACAAATCTGAACCACTCTGATGAGTCAGCTTTTGTATGTGACTTCGGTTATCATTTACCTAGTCATGGCCATTATATTCAAGAATGTTTTTTTCCCCTAATAAGAATAGAGGGCTTTTCAGAATGAAGGCTGAGTGACCTCAAGAGAAGATCCTGGACAAAGAGATCAGTGGGAAGGAAGGGAGAAGAGATGGATTATGTTTGGGAAATGAAAGATAAGGCATATGCTATATATAGGTCTATAGAGTGTGGGTGTGTTTTCAAATACTTCAATACCTGCAGAGAAGGGAGAACAGTTCTCCCACTACTACAAAGAGAGAGAGAGAGAGAGAGAGAGAGAGACAGAGAGAGAGAGAGAGAGAGAGAGAGAGAGAGAGAGAGAGAGAGAGAGAGAGAAGAGAGAGAGAGCGAGAAAGAGAGAGAGAGCCTCCCTTCTGGGTTACTAACCTTCATTCTCTTTTTTTGGGGGGGTTAGGCAATTGGGGTTAAGTGACTTGCCCAGGGTCACACAGCTAGCATCAAGTGTTTGGTCTGAGGCTGGATTTGAACTCAGGTACTCCTGACTTCAGGGCCAGTGTTCTATCCACTGCACCACCTAGCTGCCCCCCTCTAACTTTCCTTCTTATAGGACCATAGATTTAAAGCTGGAAGGGACCTTGTTGTTGTTCATTTGTTTCAGTTGTGTCTGACTCTCCATGACCTCATTTGTGGTTTTCTTGGCAAAGATACTGGAATGGCTTGCCATTTCCTTCTCCAGCTCATTTTACAGATGAGGAAACAAAGGCAAGCAGGGTAAAGTGACTTGTCCTGGGTCACACAGCTGATAAGTCTCTGAGAATGGACCATGGAGGCCATTGAGTTCAACCTTATCTGAGACTAGATTTTGAACCCAGACCCTCCTGACTCCAATTCTAGTGCTCTAGATGTTATATCTTGCTTCCTTCATTCAACCACCAAGGAACACGAGATAGGGCTAACTAGTTATATGGTTAGAGCAAGGACATTAAAGTTAAAAACAGAATGAAATGAGTAAAACTAAGTCACGAGATAGTGAGGCTAGCAACAGTAAGCTCACAATTATACAACACCTTTTGGTCTACCAAATACTTTCTTCCCAATGACTTTGTGAGGTGGATGCTGCAAATGTAATTACTCCCATGTTATGATGAGGAAACCAAGGTTCAGAGTGATTAAATGACTCTTGATAACACATAGAACCCTCGTGGCTCCCAAGTCCAGCACCCTTCCTGCCATATCAGTGCTGGCTATTTCAGGCAAGGATTTGTATTTGTAGTTGAAATACAAGTTTTGCACCTGGTATATCCTATCTCACCAAGGCCACTTTGTCCTGAAAAGCTACTGTTTCAGTGTATTC